AAATTACCGACTAGCGACAAATAAATTCTAACCGACAACCGACATGGTCAGACGTAATAGGGATGTTTGTATTCAGAAAGAACAGCATTTTGATGATTTCTTGCTCAGAAAATCCTTCTTCACCCGACGTAACCACATTTATTCCAAATTTAGCCGAATTATAGAATTTCTGGTCTTCAAATTTCTTTAAATCCACGGGATCCTTCTTTTCGGTGAGCAGCGTGGGCTCATTTCTAGAACAGCGGCTCGTAATCGGGCTGACAAGATGGCCTGCTGTCTCATTTCAAGAACAGCGGATCACAATCGAGCCAACGAGACGCCCTGCTGTTGTCTTTTTATTGCTCGTTGTTTGTTCATGCGGTCGGGTCATGACTGGGATTGCTAAAGTCATCGTGAGTTTTTTTCGAAAAGGTGAAGAAGTCGCCATCGAACGTCATCGAAGCAGGGTCCCAGTAGACAAAGAAGCTCATAGAATAGTATCTGAACTAAAAAAACATCTTACGGAGTTTTTAGGATTAAAGGAGCAGGCACATCAATATGAAATTGGCGGATTTTCGTTAAAGTTATTTCGCATGGCGAAATCGCCTGCGGGCAAATGCGAAAATTTTGCAATTGTGACGGATGGGCAATGGCAGCTTGAACTTCCAAATTTAATATCGGATGAAAGTAGCAGTGAGCTCAACGGTAAGTGTGGAACGCGTGCAGCGGAGTTTGATGAATCACTTTAGTTCTGTAGTTAAATATAAAGCTCAAATATTAACGTGGTTAAACACTGGTTCCACCGTTTTTTGTTTGTTGTTTTGTGGAGCGGAATGTTTTTTTTTTCTTTTTCACCGTCCCTTTGAATGCGAAAACTGAGAAGAAAAATCTCTACAATGAAGTAGCGAGTAAATCAGTTTATAAGCTTCTTTCTGATTAATTGGTGAATGAACAACAGTGTAGCTTAACATATTAAAGACCCCGTTTATTTATACACGCCCTTAAATTTATTCGTTTCTGAAAACCAGACGTTCAAATAATATTAAATTCTCTCCTCGAGGGAAGCTACGCACGAGAGATTTCGCTCGATGTGCACGTTTTATACATCTTGACGAGCATTTGCTGATAAGAACTGTAAGTTTCTCAAAAGCCTACTAAAGAGAAAACTTAAAACACACGGTATTTAATATTTTAGTACACATTATCCAAGAGGTCACAAACTGGACCGGAAAGCCAGTAGTGTTGCTGAAGGCGCCGGCTACATCTGATAAAAGCAAGCAGAAGTCAATGAACGACACTGAGAAGAAAGGTGACGAGTCAAAAGTGAGAAGGAAACGGAAATCACGAGAAGAAGCAAAAGAAGATGAAAATCTGGCAAAGAGGATTATGACTGACATCGAGAGAAACGAAAGGCAACAAGGAGACCTTCAAAAATTTCAGGATGGTAGGGCTGAATTAGCCCTTGTAGTTCGTTTACCTGATTTTCAAAAGTCATAAATTTCGCTACTTTGGAAATTCTGCGGTATTCCTTGTTTATAAACACTGCCTTGTTTATACAACGAAAAACGCTCACTTGGTGCGTTCGCTATGTAAAGATAGTTTCTTTTAAATTCCGGCTAAAAACTGTATTATTATCACTTTGATGGGCATTGTGGCGCATTTTGCGTGCTAAAATAAAGAATTTGCCGGGCTAAAATGTATTTTTAAAAATAGACCAAGGCAACCAATGTTCGCGCCTTCTTCTTGTAGCGTTGGTAAAAGAAACCGTGGAGCTATTTTTAAAGCCCAAATCATGGCTGAAAACACAGAAAACAACATGAAGTTTGTAAATTCTCAATCTTCTCAGGTAGGGAAGAAGATCTTAAAAAGTTAGATGCTGATTCCATGGCCGATAGCGAAGAGCATGTAAATTTTGCGGATTCAAGAAACACAAACTCTGTTTAACCAATGATGCCAAACTGTCAGTCTTGCAATTGCACAATTACTTTCAATACTTACAAATAAGTTAATCCATTTTTTCTTTCACGTCTTTTACGATTCTTCACAACACACATAGGGGAAGATTTTGTAATTTTTAGCCAGCTTTGGTATCAACCAAAGCTGGCTAGCTTTTAGCGTTGGTATTTTCATTGTGCGAAAACAAGAGCCCGGCAATAAGTTATAAACGCTCGCCGTCAAGTTTTTTTTTGTTTTTTTTTTGTTTTAAGTTTTTTTTTTTTCAATACCCTCCAACGTGATAATGATAGTAAAAGAGTTTATGGGTTTCTCTTTGTAGGGGCAGGGCAAAACCTAGGGACAATTCAAAAGGAACTGAAGGATCGGAATTTTTTTTTTCAGCTCTGAAGGATTTGAATGGTAGTGTTGCACTAAGCGAAGTGCAAATCAAGTGTGGCATATGTTCAAAAAGCTATGCTTGTCGTCACACAGACAGGATATTTAATGGAAAAGTCAGCTACTTGAAAGCGAGTAAGTAATGATCACTTATCTTTACATATTTTATCAGACATGATAAATTAGCGTTCGTGACAGTCTTGCCTATTAAGTCCTTTAACTATTTTAATATATATTTTGTATTTTTATTCACACTTGAAAATGACCTCATAGAGGTCGAAACGTGACTTTTTAGCGTTAATTTTTATAAAATTTATGAAATTACTTATCCAGAATTGACGAAACGTAGCTAAACTTACAGAGATAAGAGACGAATAATCATCATCAAAGAATTACAATGGGAGCACTTGTTGAAAAACGTTAACGAGACGACTTTTTTTAATACTGAAAGGTTAAAAGCGGCTGGAAACCAAGAGAGGGATGTTCAGAGCATGGAAATTCGTGATATCTAAACTAAATACTTAAATAATTTCAGACCACTTCGACAAGTGTCTAAGCAGAAAGAACAAGAATGATGCCACTCTTAAGAGTCAAGGTCGCATGGATGCATTTCTGATGAAAGCCAGTAACTCGATATCATCCAAACAAAAGGCAGGAGATATTG